TCTCAGACACACACATAGGCACACACACACACACACACACACACACACACACACACACACACACACTCTCTCTCTCTCTCTCTCTCTCTCTCTCTCTCTCTCTCTCTCTCTCTCTCTCTCCTGCAGCGCTTGACCTCCATCACACCGTCGTAATGCCATCCTCCGCCGTCTCTGGCTCACCTCCAGAGAAGGCGGGAATCTGCTCTCTGTCGTCGCCAAACACAAGCCTTATGAATTTGATCTTGAAATATCTGTCGGCAGGCTGTGAATAAATCTTAGGTGTGTCTGTCTGAAGAACAGGAGGCGTTATCGATTACGGTTCTGGTTTTACGCAACAGGCATGTTGTCAGGAGAGTGATGGTTGGTTTGTGGCTTATAATTAAAGTGGAACAATGGTGACTGTACATTTATATTGGAGGATTTTATCAGCCTTTGTAAGGATATGTGGTGCTTTTTTAATGAATTTATTTATTGAAGAAGAATGTTATAAATGTGTGATTCTAATTTTGATATGTTTTTTTCTTTATGGTGCTTTGTGTGTTTTTCAGTTAGTCCCATTATACAAGAAAATACTAGCATTTTTGTATCTTTTAAAGGGAATGCAACGGTTAATGCAAGATTTAAAGAATGGACCGCATATTAAATCAGTGCATACTTTATATTTTCCCTACAACAGGGATCATGTGAGCCCGGTATTTCATCTCGTTTTTATACCCACTCATCTATAATTGTAAATCCTGGAGACGTACTGTTCACACTCACAGAATATTATTTTAAACTATATTTAAGATCCTCAGAAACCAAATGTGTCATGGAAATATAACTACTGTATGCTCAAGACACTTATAATTTAATAAATGACATATTATCATTTATATATAATTTGGTGGAACTGTGCAACCATGGTAATGTTAACAGTTAGTGAATGTGAAGTTGTTAAACAGTAAAAATACTAATTGGATACATGTATTCCTTTTAGGTATAAAGGTATTTAACTAACAGGTAAGGTGTTGTCTAAAGTAAGAGGGAAAGTATGTGACGTGTGTTCCTCTGTGTGTGTGCAGGTCTGAAGGAGAGTATGCGGCAGGCGGAGCTCAACAACTGGTCTCTGGACCCCGCCCAGATGTCCGACCTGTGTTCCTCCATTAACCAGTTCTTCACTGCCACAGGGGTCATCCCCCCGCAGGGCGCCACCCACCCTCAGCCTCAGGTCCAACACCCGACACCCCCAGGAGCCCCGCAGCACCCCGCCCAGCCGCACGGGGCCATGCACCCCAAGGCCAGCCAGCACAATCAGCACGGCCAACACAACCAACATCACCAACACATCAGCACGGGTACAGAGATAGATATGAACTCAGAAAATATTTAATGTAGGAGTTTCAAATACTACAGTATATCCGTCTGAGTTTTTGTGGAAGAGAAATGCTTAAACATTATCTTAACATGAGCTTTTTAGAGTGTTTAACATCTCTGCACCTGCTGTGCTGGGAGCTGAATTACAGTCTCTCTCCTCACTGGGCCATTGTTTGCCCATTATAGATTTACAAAGGAATTATGGATGTTGTCAGCTTCATGGCAACCCGAGTAGAGCGATGAAGACGAGGGGATATTTTCACCAGTGGGAGATCTGGCACATTCTGTAGGATTTCTCAGGCTTAGCATAATATGGCAGTAAAACTGTGTGCACCAGACAGCAGCTTGTGTTCTGCAGAGACACATAGCATGTGTGAAAGTAGGGATACTAATCTGACAGTTAGTCATTGCCCTTTTGTCTGTTCCCCCACAGGAAACATGTACATAGACTCGAGACAGAGCATTTCCTCTCTGATGGGCCCGCCAGGATACCCTCACATCTCTCCGATGGGCAACACAGCTCCCACCATGACAGGTGAGTCCTCCCACGATCTTTAAACAGGTCAGGAGGAGAAGGAGGAAGCAGAGTATATGTTTTTAAACTGTTTTTTATCACAAAGGTGACCGGGTTTTCACAGTAATAAATATTTGTTTGGTAAAAAAACTAAATGCCTAGGTTAAGTGTGCCAATATCAAAAGTGTGCTCGTGTCAAACTGCAGGAAGGCACAGTTCACCACAATTGGTCCTTTAGTAACAAGGCTTGCTCAGGATATGCCACATAAATCAGTTGTTACTAGAAGATGTCACAAATGTAGGTTTTATCCAGTTTTAAACCACATTTAATGATACACTTTTTAAATCTTGACATTTTGTTATGAAACATCTCGATGTTAAGCAAGCGGAGAAACAAGCTGAGCAAAACACACAGTAAAACAGAATCTTTTAGTGGTTTCAGTAATGTTTGGATTACTGGGCCCATTATTAGAAAGTAGGACATTAGATAAATCTGATCCTACTGAAAACTCCATGAACGTCTGGATCTTTAGTTATCAGAAAACAAAGGTGAGCCAGCATTAGCAGCCACCATCCAATCCAATCCAACTTTATGTATAAAGCACTTTAAAACCTCCAGACCAAAGTGCTATACAGAGAGATACATAACATATAAAATCACACAGCTCAGCTCACAAAACATACAAATAGGTATAAAATCACATAAAAGGTACGAACACAAAACAAACCAGAATAACCATTAGACACACTAGTAGCAGAACATGTCATATTTTATGTTTAAGGCTTCTACTCTCCTCCCATGTTTAGGTCACCTGATCCAGCTGAGCCAGCAGCACAGGCTGCCTCTGGGACACTTCCAGGTGAGACGCATGCTCGCTGCAGATGACATCCAGGACGACTTTGACTGGGACTCCATAGTTTAAACTGAGCCGCTGGTTGAACAGAGGGATGGAGAGACATGTTATGACAGGTGAGGTATGGAACAATCTGACCTCCTTTCACCTGAGTGAAAAAACAGAAGACAATCCAACAGAAAAAGAAAACAAACGGAAAGTAATTTTTCTGATCTTGCTGGCCTTTTTCCCCCCTGAAACAAGTGGATATTGAGTATAAAGACAATCATAAAAAAAAAATAAGACTTACATGGGATAGGACCAAGCCGAGATTCGAACACATAACGTCCAAAGCCAAAAGACGTCTGAAGCTCTCTGAATTGTGTCACGTCGTGTCCCCATAGTGCCAACAGGGTAACAAGTCGCCAAAGTGTTGTCTAAATTGTCTGTGAATTGTTTTTCTTTTTGATTTCTTAAATCTTTTGTGTTTCCTGCTACAACTTGTGTCTGCAAAGTTTCAGCGCCTGTACCTGAAATGAATTGAAACCTTGTCTTCTCCAAACAGCAGAAAAATCATCATTCACTCACTTTCAACATGTTCATCCTTTCCTTCTCGTCACATCTGTTTGTTCACTCAGCACTGGGCATGCGCAGGGCTGTGGCTCTGAACAGCTACAGTTAGAAGGAGGATTTATGAAGCAGAAAGTGATGACAGTGCACCTGTTCAGCCTGAATCAGTAGTGGTTGAGTGAAGCGCCACCTGCTGGGTTAAACTGGTTAAATCCTTCTGCCTAAAAAATGGTCTATGCACCACAATCTGTTCATTATTTGTCTTTGTGCTGTCACATTCTAAATCCATTTTTATTTGATCATTTTAAATGTTGTGATTGTGTGTGTGTAACAGTCCATGTTGCCATTTTCTCAGGGTGTTACATTCATAAACCATGTCAGACCAACACAAAGACATTTACATCTCCATATGTGAGGTTACCGCGTGTTGTTGGTGCTGTCAGTGTTCACTTCCTGTTGGCGGACAGCGAGCCTAAAAAGTTCAAAATCCTCATTTGTCAGCTTATAAGCTAACTGATACGCTTTTCAGTAGCTGAAACAACCGCCACTATTTAAAATGTCTTTGTCAACAAGGATGCATCCTTTTTCCGAAATATAATTCAGTTTTCCAAGGTTTAAGGTTTTTGGGAAAGTGCATATCAACTACGACCAAGCTGTTTTTTGCACAACATTAGACTTGATAGTATCTGGTGAATGAAAGAAATGAAATAACAATGTGAACATGTTATCTCTTTGTTTCAAAAGACGTTTGAAAAAAAGAATATCAACAAAGGGGAGCAAAGACTAAACAAAAGTTTAGTAACTTTTCTTACTGTGATGTTTAATTTTATCTGTGTGTACAAGTGTGTGTGTTTGTAAGTCCTCTCTGATTTCATTTAGCATACAGCTCTGTGCGGCTCAAAAAATACACAAGAGAAAAGTACTTTTTTTGTATTAAGTGGGTACAAAGTGAAATATGGGACTTTAAAGTACTCTTCTGTTTGGAAGATCTCAGTGATTGTTCAAATGGTCTAAACAAGGTCTCATTATAAAGAAAAAATAAAGAAAAATACTCATTATTGCCATTAAATGCTGTATAACAGTGACCAGCATATATGAATATATTGTATGTTTGTGTGTTGTTGTCCATGTAAATAATGCTATGTTACTCCTATGTTTGCCCTTGAAAAACAGACTGAAAAGAGAAAACAGGAGAAAGTATTTTGTTATTTGTCCTTCAGGAGACACAAGTATGTAAATATCTTCAGCATATTGTAAATACGTGATAAAAAAAATACCATTGGCGTTTTGTGTGTTATAAATAATCTGTGTATGGCAGTCCAGCAGTTAAAATCTGTTTCAGTGTTTATTATTAAAATGTCATTGACCATTTTTACTGCGCTAACCTCACTTCTGCTGTCGTTATTTCATCAGCTGTCGGCATGTTTGAAACAGCAGAAAATGTTAAATTATGCTGGAAATGTTCTATATTTGACTCTTTCTAACATGCTGCTGTGGTCTATCAGAGTTTGTAAAAATGTAAATCATTCAGGTGAAACAAGCACAGAGAGAGACTTGATAAACTTCCCTCGTAGCTTGTTGTCCAACAGGTGTCAGCCTAGTGCCAAGCAGCAGTTTGTTTGCCTTCCATCGCATGTAAACTAAGCAGACCACCCATGCTTGTCGGTGTGAAAGTCACACAATGTTCTAACTGTATTTACGGCTCCTTTTCACGGGCCAAACCTGTTTTTAAAAAGCTGCCTTCTCTTGCTACTGTCTGTCAGCAACAGATGCACGCTGGCACTTTCCTTTTTGTATGCACCATATTGATGATTTTAAAGATACATGCAGACGCTGTCTGCTGTTAAACACTTCAGAATTGTAATACGTAACATCAAGTGAAGCTGTGTTCTGTTGCAGACACTTTGTTGGCTGCTAACTCTGTGATTAAGGCTTATTTTAGACCTCTGTTTACATCTTTTCATTCATTCAGAAAGCATTTGAAAAGCCTGTTGCTTTAATTGTACGAGTTGCACAGATATAGTTTGAAGAGCTTGTCTTTTATAAATATTACAACAGTCTATTTATCTGTGTTTTCCAAGTGTGTGTGTGTGTGTGTGTGTGTGTGTGTGTGTGTGTGTGTGTGTGTGTGTGTGTGTGTGTGTGTGTGTGTGTGTGTGTGTGTGTGTGTGTGTGTGTGTGTGTGTGTGTGTGTGTGTGTGTGTGTGTGTGTGTGTGTGTGTGTGTGTGTGTGTGTGTGTGTGTGTGTGTGTGTGTGTGTGTGTGTGTTGCAGGGTTTGCAAACAGGGGGCCTGGCCACCAAGAGGAGACCCCGTCCCGCTCGGGGCTGGACCAACGAGGGCTGAAGCCTCCTCACTGCCCCAATCCGGACTCCCTCCTCCCAGCACAACCTGCCCCTCGCTCCTCAGCCGGCCCAGCCCACCACCAGTACCAGCACCCCTCCTCCACTCTCAGTCACTCACACACAGTCTCTTTTCTCTCTCCTGCTGTGTGCCAGTCCCTCTCTCCCCTCCACTTCCTCAAAGTGGCCACAGCTCCTCTCTTTTCTCTTGTCCTCTTTACATCTCTCCACCACTCTCTTTCTTCCTCCAGCTGTGAGAGCAACTGCCTGTTCCTCTTCAACTCTGCCAGTTAAACGGATCTCAGGTCGCCTCTTTTCCCCCCTGACGACTTTATCTTCCTTCTTGACCTTTTTGTTTTTGGGTCCTTCCCCTCCGGAGAGACCGGTTGGTGTGTGTGTCTGGCGTGTGTGCGAGGGCTCCGGTGTCGTGCTCTTTGCCCCCAAGGGATCCCCTAAAGGTTGTGACTGGAGGAGAAAACGTTTCACCACCATGAATGTTCAACTGCTGTTCCTGTTGGCCCTGGCTGGCCCTTTCTGCGCTTTCACACATGCAAGTAAGTGAAAACTGTCTCTATCCCATCCTGCCATTAGCACACTGTGTCCCCTCGCTCCCTCCATGTGCCCACCCCACTACACTCTTTGTCTCCATTAACCCCTGCTGACTGAATAATAACACTCTAAATGCTGGTTTTAAAGGATATGTTTAACACCTTTTTTTATTTGTGTATTTATTTACAAATTCTAAAGGCTTTTATTTTTATTTTTAAATGTTCTTATTGTTCACTATCACTGTAAACTGCCCCCTGAAACATCTTGCTGTAGTGTGGCCCATATGTTCCACCTTAGCCGGGAGTCACTCATCCAAAGTCTTGGTCAAGGGTGTTAATTGAACAAAGAGGGGCCAACTGAAGTGGATAGTCTGTTCTGAAACATTTGAACTCCCTCCATTTCACTTTCTTCCTCCTTCTCACGCTACTCCTGAGCTCTTGAGAAAGAGTCTGATTTGCAGTCACTGAGGGGAAATGTGATGTAATGGCAGGAGCTCTGCTGCCTCGTGTCTGTAAATTCTTGGCACTGGCAAAGAAAAGAAAAGGAATATCCTTTGGAAGACTCCCAAACTAGCGCTCATACTCAGCGACCGAGGGATGGGGGGGGCTGCAAACTGTAACACACACCGCTCACATTTATCTGAAAGATTATCCTCCGTCTCCCATTCATCTCTCACTGCAGCCACTTTCATGTTTACTCTCTGCTTTCTCCATGTTTCTGTGTGTCTCATGTCTTCCCTTCCTGCGCCTTGACCAGCAGTGTTTGCCCATGAAGCAGAAGGCAGGGGGGGGGTGTGGCTGAGGGAACTGTAGGGCAGGGCTGCTTAGCGCGTGGGTATTAATAGAGAGAGGCTCTATATTTAAGAGGGTCATATGGATGAGAGAGGAGCAAGAGACGAGAAGGGAGAGCACCCTGTACGTGATGAGCCTCAAGAGGCGCCCCACCCTCTTTCAACCGAATGTTATCGTGCAGCACGCCGCCCCTTGGCATTTACCCATCTTTGGTTGTCAAACTTTGACCACTCAACCCCTCCCCCCCCCCCCAAACTCTCTTAAAGTCCCCCGCCTCCCTCCAACTCTCTGCCCCCGTCCCCTGTTCCAGCTTGATGAGTCTCTGGACCCCGGGGACAGAGTTGGTGTCGGCACAGGGGGAGCAGAGAGGGGCTGGGGATATTTTTAAACAACAACCTTTACCGGTAGGAGACGACGTGCCTGCACCATTACCATGGAGGTTTACTCTTTAAATTTTTTTTTTTTAAAAAGTCCTTAAACTTTCAGAATCATTCTCAGCTTCAGTTTCCCCAGGAAAAGAGGAAACAAAGAAAATAAGCCCAACATCCATGGCTCTCAAATGGGGGGCTTTTAACTTCTCGCGCCTGCTCACTTAACTAGCTAGCCCCATGTATCCTGTAAAACCCTGCACCTCCTCCCTCACACTAGTGCCCCCCCCTCCTCTGGTCTCCTTCTTAATGAGTTTTGTCTGCCTCTCTGGGCCTATAACGTCCCCGTCACATCTGGCTGCTGAAGGGAGAGGTCAATGGCCTTTGTCCGTGCCCACTTCTAGAAAATGACTCAAATGTTGCGCTCACACTCCAAATATGAGACACATGCTGGTAAAGAGGGACCATTAGAGAAGGACAACTTCTCACGTAAACCCAGTCTCGTTTTGAGAAGGGAAAAAAAGCCCAGTCATACTTCCAAAGTTTTCCACAAGGAGAAAGGAACATCTGTTTATGGAAAGAACGTTTGAGCGGGGACCGAGCCCAGGCCCTGACGACCTGACGCTGTAGCAGAGTGTCAGAGTAATGTATGTTTCTTTTTGTGTGTTTGTCTCCTCTGTGAGCACAAGACACAAATGTCTCATATCTTTAGCACCTATGTGTGCAGCAGGGTGAGACACGGTGCAAGAAAAAGTAGGAGAAGAAAAAACAGAGCTACTGACTAAGGAACACTTATACAACTGGGCGGGTGTTTTTATGATGTGGGAGTTGGATTGGAAGGTTAGCAAGATTAGGAATACATTAAGAGGCTTGTTTGATTAAATTGTAAGTCTGGGGTGTTTAGATTTAAAAAGGAAAAGTAGGGAGTAAGAAGGCTTAGAGTGATGCCACTGCACGATCTGTTTGTTTTGTCATTTCAACAGTGGCTGCATTTAAAGTCATCCCTGCCCTGATTCATTACATGTTAGGAATTTAATCAGACCTGTTCGGACTAAGATTAAAGGCCCATTTATCTGGACCCGTTTCTGCCCCTGGCAATGGAGTCCAGATGGGACCTGCTGCATGTTCTCCTATCTAAGTAAGACCAGGAGGAGAAAGAAATCCGTTCCTGTGCGAGAGTGGACGCTCATTGTGATAAGACTGGCTGAGAATATTCCACTCCAGTCTGTCTCCTGCAAAATCCCCCAGAGTGCAATGCATGGCACACAGCAGTATCTCCACAGCTGACTCCTACTTGTGGAGCAGGGGGGGGGTTTACGCCGTGCGGCATCTCGTCAAAGTGCGTTCAGATGGGCAGGGCGCCTATCTCTCACATTTCTCTCCTCGAGTGCCGAAAAAACATTCCTGGGCTCCAAAGGTGGACACACTCCCTCACACCGTCTGCACGACCATTTCCCTCCCACACAAGACTGTGAATTAGCAACACACACACACACACACACACACACACACACACACACACACACACACACACACACACGGGGGGGCCTCAGTGACAGCTGATTGTGATCGTAATGGATGGAAGCTGCTACTCCCTTCTTTCCTGTCTCACACTGTATGTCGTTGTGTGCCTCCCTCACTCTCACACTCTGAAGGTTTTATTTATGCTAGGCAGGAGTGGAGCCTCATGGTGCCCCCCCCCCAAATCTTTCTCACAGCTTTTTGGTGTATTCCTGTACCACTTTAACTCTTTTTGTGTCACACTACACCTCTCTGTCCCCCCTTGTATATCTTCATCCCATCACTAAACATTATTTAAGGTTGTTTGGCTTATTTGAAAAGGCCAGTAAATCTAGTCAAAGTTGTTTATCTGACACTTGAGACTTTGGGCTGTTTCGCTGTCATAACAAGTTTTTTTCCCGATTAGTAGAAAGAAAACATCCTCAAAAGTAGGTGTTTATTTTACTACTTGAGTTTGTATATTTTTCCTACATTTCTTTTCTTAATAAATCAAATCAGTTTCTTCAGACAGTATAATCACCACTAGTCTTCTACTTGTTTTCATGTTTTTAAAACCAATGAATGAACCCTTTTATACATAGATAACAGACACACACACACACTCATACCCATAAACACACACATTACTGCATGAACTCACTGCCGCTTGCTTGCGTTTGTTAACTGGCAGGAAGATTTTCTGGCAGATTCATGCTTCACGTGGTAGTGGATGTGAGGGAGCATGTGTGGTCGAAATGATGTAATGGTGGGTAAAAGGGCCCGGGTGCACCACCAAGAAAATGTGGAATAATAATGGCAACGCCACAGTTAC